CGTAAGGTGCAGTTCTTCTGTGAAACCATAAGGTGAAACCGTAAGGTGCAGTTCTTCTGTGAAACCATAAGGTGAAACCGTAAGGTGCAGTTCTTTGGTGCCCTACATGGCTGTTATGAATCAAAATCAACTTGAGAGCAGTAGGCATCTTTTGGGAAGGTTAATAATAGCAACCCATAATCAATAATCCAAGATATGTTTTAGTAAAATTATTGGTAAAGGAAAGAAAAGAGGAGCCTATGGGCATCTAGGCAAAAATAGCAAATGGCTTATAGGGAGGAGATGTATTCTCTTCCCAAGTTGTCGGCAGCATCAGTTTATGACAGAGTAATACCCGTAACATGTAACACCCTTAACTTGAGCTGAGATTTTTATACCCAGCAAAACTGACATCCACAAACTACTGTCATCATGCAAGAATAGCAACGTGCGAGCATAGAACTTGTAGAACTCAATGCATGTCATAAATATAGTACAACTAGCTGTATGTTGAGATAATGTAGACATAGAACATCTATTTAAGAACAGAAGGAAGAAGGAACGTATCCCCAAATTTTAGTTATTTTCAGTAATTGCATCAATGATAGTAACTTTAGTATTGCTATTGTGTGGTGTTGTTGTCGTCAGGTGCCATCGAGTCGGAACTGACTCATAGCGACCCCATGCACAGCAGAACGAAACAATGTCCGATCCTGGGTCAACCTCACTACCGCTGCCACACTTGAGTCCATCAGTGCTGCCACCTGGCTGATCCATCTCGTTGGGTTGGACATTTGGTTTTATGTCAAAACTATTGTGTGTAGTATGGGGTAAACTAAGTCATGATAGGCATTCTGTCATTGCCTGTGCTCTTGGGAACTAGACAGACCCCTTTACAGTGTACAAGAGATTAAATAACAAGAGAAGACCCTGTGGTCCTTCTTTTGAATCAGGAATATCAACATGACTTTGTGATTTATTTTATTTTAATGTCCATTGATGAGGCCTAGAAACAATGACCAACCCAATAGCAGTAAGCATCCCTGTTGTCTAGATTGTGGACTTCAAATACAAAACAAAAAATCAAATAGAACTAGTACCTTCTTGGAGAGATGGCTGACTCCAGATACAAGATGAGGCTGGAATTTCGTGTCCTGCCAGACAACAAGGAAACTCAATGACAACAAGGGTTAAGTCTAAAGGACATAGGTGCCAACTTCATTTTCCCATTGACTGAAGATGGCACATTTTGAGCACCAAAGGATAATAATTGTAGTGGATTGAAGCCTTCAAATAGGTTTAAATCTGTGAGTTCATGCTGATATTTGAAAGAAACTACATGGTCACCTTTAGTGGACAATAGGGAACCAGGTCATTATCATGAGACTTTGTGAATAAAAAGAAAAGACCAAGCATTCGTCTTGCATTCCTCTATGAATTGTACCTCCTGGTAACCATGAGGGGAAGCATTCCAACTACTACATGGAAAAGCCATTATAGACTCAGTCTAGCACCGTTTGTCATCCTGGATGAGTCAGTGGGTTCAGGGTCTGAGCATCAACAGCTACTGCCATCAAAAGAAGGATACCACCAGCCACCGGGTGTCTCCTGGTGGAAGATACATCACCACCTACTTTTTGTGAAAGGGATAGAGCCTGTGTCTGAGCAGACTTCTGGACCTAGCTGCCAATGTGCGGGAAATCCAGAGGACGGAAACACGCTGACCTGCACCACCAGGATGCAATCAACAAAGTCTAGCGATGGGAAATGCCACCAGCAAAATAACACTGACTTCTTTAACACATACGTTGTTTGGACTATGAAGGGGTCAAGAGGAAACCTGTAGATTAAAGAAAAAAAAAATTAGTGCAAAGACTTTTTTAATGGACAAGTCTAATTATTGTGTCTAGAGACACACACTTATGTGTCAAAACTCTAAAGAAACCCACGGAAGTGGTTTTTCTGGGGTTCAGAAAAGAGGTTACTTTGGGACTAAGGAGAGAGTTGGAATGGTTTGCAGCACCTGAAGGAGTCTGTGGGTGGCTGACAAAAGTCTTTCTTGACCTGGCTAATTATAAAGGTGTTGGCTTTATATGGTGAAACCTGTGAAGGCCGGAACTGTCTTATTTTCCCAGGTCTTGCAAGTTTCCACCTTTGACAGGGTGCGGTCATCATTTTTCTGTTGCTCTCCGTTAGTGGAAAAGATTTGCATTTTCTTTCTCCGACAGGTTTCTGCCTTACACGGGTTCCAGATTTCACAGGTGTTCCTGTAATAGCTCTTTAAGCTGTACCTGTTTTGTGTAGTTTTCTGTATGCGTTTATTTTATAAGTTTTAAAACTTCGTCCAGGACAGTGACTAGAATCCTGATGTCATGCCGTAGGATAAGCAGTCAACCTCAAGGTCGGTTTGAACAGCAAGGTCAGCAGTTCAAACTCACAGGCAGGGTCACTGTGAGTCGGAACCAACTCCACGGCATTTAACAACAACAACACAGTGACTGGAAGGTAGACCTTTCAAAAACTTTAACTTCTTTTCCTTCCTCCCCATCATGTGACAGTATAAATTTGACTCTTTGGGCTAGACACTCAGCTTGGCTCTGGTGTCCCCATTTCTTACCCCTCCCTCCCACCAGACCCTGGGCTTAGTGAAGGCAGGAGCTCAAACATATGCTGAATGAATGAATGAATGAATGAATGAATGAATGAATGAACTTTGCAGGTGTAGAAGCGAAGTTCCGTTGGTACAGTTGGCAAGTGTCAATGTTCTGCTCAGCCATTCAGAACAGGGGAAACCAACTTGTAGGAAGGACAGTCTTCTGGGCTTAGCTCCCCTCAGAGCCGACCCTGGGGCAGGTGCGCGTGACCTGACCATGTGACCCTCCTGCAGCTTGGTCTCCATAGGGGCTCAGGCTCTGACTTTCCCACGGGCTTTTTGTGCTGTGGTTCTCCGTGTTGTTGATGTTAGGTGCCATCGAATCGACAACTCATAGCAACATTGCCCTATTCCGTGCCAGCCGCACACTTGTTACTCTATGTAAGCCCATTGCTGTGGCCACGGTGCCAATCCATCTCATTGAGCCTTTTCCTCTTTTTCGCTGACCTTCTGCTTCACCAAGCATGATGTCCTTCTTCAGGTACTGGTCCCTTCTGACCACATGTCCAAAGTGTATAAGATCAAGTCTTGCCATGCTTGCTTGTAAGGAGCGTGCTGGCTATATGTCTCCCAAGACAGATTTATTTGCTCTTCTGGCAGTCCGTGGCATATTCAGTATTCTTTGCCAAACCCTTATATTGAAATGCATCGATTCTTCACCAGTCTTCATTATTCATTGTCCAGCTTTCACATGCATATGGGACAAATGGAAATACCATGGCATGGGTCAGGCACACCTTAGTCCCAACCTGACATCTTTGCTCTTGAACATTTTCAAGAGATCTTTGGCAACAGATTCACCCAAAGCAATATATTGTTTGGTTTCTTGACTGCTGCTTCCATCGGCCTTGATTATGACTCCAGGCCACACAAAATCCTTGACAACATCAATCTTCCCTGTAGGCTCCGCCAAGAGAAGACAGACACAGTCCGCTGCGTGAAGTCCTGCCGTCCAAACGATGTCACCTGCATGCTGGACCCAGTGCATACCATCTCTCACACTGTCATCTCGCTGCCCACCTTCCGTGAGTTCAGCCGTCCTGAAGGTGAGTTGGCATGGAGGTCCGGGAAGAAGCTGTAGTCTTGGGAAGCTGGCCAGCAGGCAGCCTTTTAAGACCTCCTTCTGCCTGAGCTCAGAACCTGAGAGTGTTGAATCCTAACCACCAGACCACCTGAGAAGTTGGCCTAGAGGAGCTATTCCCAGGTAAAGCATGGTTGGGTACCTATGAAGGTACTCCTCACCCCCATGTCCCCAGATTACAGAGTACTGCTGTGGCCCACTCTCGCTATTCAGTTAAGGGTGTCTCCTGGGTGATGCTAATGTTGAGTGCTCTCATCTGTAACCAGAAGGTTGGAGGTTCAAGTCCACTCAGAGGTGTCTCGTATGACACACCTGGTAATTTGCTTCCAGAATCCTCAGTCATTGAAAACTCTAAGGAGCACAGTTCTTCACGGGGTTGCCAAGAGTCAGAATGAACCCAACTATAATGGTTTCTCTTCTCACGGGGAGAAGTCGTTCTGCAAAGAACTGGTAAGCCTTGATTCTGGGCCAAGCTCTGGAAGTCAGGGAGGCCTTCGGGAGGAAGCAACTTCACGCTGGGAGAGGAGCTATCAAGCAGAAGAGAACACGTCAGGAAAGGTCTGGAGATACATGGGCATTTCCGGGCCCACGAGGCTGACAGGCGTGTCTAGACAAGTCCTGCTCTTCGAAGGACTTGGTGGCACACTGGGTGAAGTGTTGGGCTTCTAACTGCAAGGTCAGCAGTTCAAACACTCTAGCCGCTCTGTATGAGAGACATGACGCCTTCTGCTCCTGTAAAGATTTGAAGTCTGGGAAACACTAAGTGCCAGTTAGGCTCTGTCCTACAGGTTGCTAAAAAATCGGAATTGACTTGACCTCAGTGGGCTTGATTTGGGGTTTAGACAGACTCTTGCTAGTTGAGTGGTAGGAGCTGGTGAAGAGACAGGCTGAAGGACATGTGAGGGTCTTGGGGGCTCAGTGGTTAAGCACCAGCTTGGATTTCCCGCAGCTGATAACTGAGAGGTTACAGGTTTGAGTCCAACAAAAGTCACGTTGGAAGAAAGGTTTAACAATGTACTTACGAAAAAATCATCCACTGAGATCCCTGTGAGCACAGTTCTACTCTGACACATGGGGCGCCATGAGTGGAATCTACTTATGAAAAATCATCCACTGAGAACCCTGTGAGCACAGTTCTACTCCGACACACACGGGGCACCATGAGCCAGAATCAACTCTACGGTATCTGTTAACTTGAGCTGGAATTTCAACTACAAGACTTTGGGGAGCCATTGATGGGGTATTTTGAAATGGGGCATTTAGCTAATGAGAGTAGAAACATCACCCTGGTCACTGAGGAGCAGAGGGACAGAGACAGAGAGCCCGTGTGTGACTGGTCGGTGTTCCCCTGCCCCACCTGGTCCTGTAGGGACCTCCTGGCAGGTTTGGGATGGACTGGGTACCCCTCAGAGGTCTGCTCCAGACACCTTTCCCCAGGTGTGCCGCCCATGTGCTGGGCCTGCCCTGGTCCTCAGAGGCTCACTGGCCACTGCTCCTCCATCCAGCAGATAGTGGCCACGCCCTCCTGCGTGTCCTGCTCTGGCCTGGGTTCTGGGGACACGCTTGGGGGTAACATGCAGTTGTGCCACTAAGACGTAGGAGCTCATGCCAGAACATAAACCCTGGTTGGTGGAGTGTGGGGAGGGGCAGGAGAGACTCCCCAGTGTTGTGGTGGCCTGGAAGGATTGGGTAGACCCTGGATTTCTGCTCCCCTATCCAGCAACCTGTCTTCTTGGAAGAGGGGCGGAGATGAAAAGACCCCCAGAACTGGTTCTTGCCTTGTGAAAAACGACAGACTTCCACCAAACCACCTGCACCTCCTTCCTGATGCCCACCAGCCGGGTCTCTAGCCTCTCGGGGTAGTGCTGATCCACCAGGGGGTGCACCCAGGAGACCCAGACCCTGGACAGTGAAAGGACTTTGGTGTTCTTCTTAGCTACCATCAAGTCTGTTCCGACCCCCTGTGGAATTGCCCCATGGGGTTTTCTGTATTGTCATCTTGACGGAAGCTGATCTCCAGGTCTCCCACAGTCTCTAGGTGGGGGTGAGTTTGGATTAGCAGCTGAGTGCTTAACCACTGAGCCCCAAGGCTCCGTGAAAGGACCTTCAAACCCCCTGCTATCAAGTTGATTCCAACTCGTCACCACCCAATAGGACACGGTAGAAGTGTCCTTAGGGTCACTGACACCGTCGGCCTTTACGGGAGCAGCCAGCCTCATCTCTCCCATGGATTTGAACCACTGGATCTTGCAGTGAGCAGCCCAGTGATAAATCCTCTGCACCACCATGAACCTTTGAAAGGATCTTGTAGTGGTCGTTGTTCAGTGCCATCGAGTCGGTTCTGACTCATAACGACCCTGCCTAGGGTTTCCAAGGAGCAGCTGGTGGGTTTGAACTGCCGACCTTATCGGACACTAAACTGACGGTCTCTCCTACCTGAAAACCCGTGGTCCTCAATTCAAACCAAACAATAGCTTAGTTAATTAATAACAAATGTCTGCCTGGAGCTGTCTGCTGCTTCATATGTATTCATATGGGATCAAACTGAGCACAGTAACTGTAAAGATTAGCTAGGAGACTTGAGGGGATGCTCATAAGCCTTTGTGGTGGTTGTTGTTGTTGTTAAGTGCCGTCAAGTTGGTTCCGACCCATAGTGACCCAGCATAGGGTTTCCAAGGAGCAGCTGGTGAGCTTGAACTGCCAGCCTTGCTGTTCAAACCAACTTTGCAGTCCAGCCTATTAACCCACAGTGCCACACCAGTTCTCCATAAGCCTCAGTGGTGGTTATGTGCTGTGGAGTTGAAACCAACTCATAGCTACCCTGTTCAGGGTTTCTGAGGCTGTAAATCTTTGTTGTTGTTGTTAGGTGCCATCGAGTTGGTACTGATCCATAGCGACCTTATGCACAGCAGAACGAAACACTGCCTGATCCTGGGCCAACCTCACAACTGTTGTCACGCTTGAGTCCACTGATGCTGCCACTTGGCCAATCCATCTCGATGGGAGTCTTCCTCTTTTTCTCTGAGCCTTGCAGTTCACAGCCCGATTCGTAAGCACTGCACTAGCAGAGCTCCTTGGTTCGTGTTAATAAGGGAGGAGCTCCTCAGAAAAGTTGTGACAATGGTGGTACAAGTTAAAGAACACCACCCATGTCACTAAGGAGCTCTGGTAGCGTAGTGGTTATGAATCAGGCTGCGAACCTCAAGGTCAGCAGTTCGAAACTACCAGCTGTTCCACAGGAGAAAGATGAGACTTTCTGCTCCTGTAAAGATTTGCAGCCTCGGAAACCCTGTCCAGGGTTGCTATGAGTTGGAACCGACTCCACGGCACATAACCACAACGACCCATGTCACTGAATGTCACACGTGGAAACGGTTGAGTTGGTTTAAGTTACGCTGTGTAGATTCTCAACAATAACAAAAAACAGGCAGCTAACTGCAATTCATGGACCCCCATGAATGTCGGGAGTAGAATCATGCTATATAGAGATTTCAGAGAGTGATTCTTTGCTAGTAGATGGCCAGACCTTTCTTCTGAGGTGCCTCGGGGTAGACCCAAACTGCCAACATTCAGGTTAACAGCCAAGAGGATAAACCATTTGCAGCGCTCAGTGACTCCCTCCTCTACCTCACAGATGAGGAAACTGAGGCCCAGAGCGAGGGCTCGCACAAGGCCACCCTCCAAAGCTCTAGGAGGTAGTCACAGCCACCCCGCCATTCAGCCTACCGGGGTGTGGCTTGTCTGACCCATGTCACCATGTACCTTTCTGACCCCTCTCCTGTATGCCCCCTCTCCTGACTCAGTTTCCCACTGGTAAAGCGGGGATGGGCTGGCTGTGACTAAGGCCCCCTCAGGACCTCGGCATCGTTTCCAGGCAGTGCCTGACCTTTAAGGGCGTCATCTGAGGATGGACGGTCCCTTGGTATGCTCTCAGTACCCAGGGGCGTGTTCTGGGGCCCACGCTGTGCTTCTCCTCCTTACAGAGATAGTCTTCCTCCGAGCGATCACACCCGCGTACCCCGCCAACCAGGCTGACATCATCTTCGACATCACTGAGGGCAACCTGCGGGACTCCTTTGATATCATCAAGCGTTACATGGACGGCATGACCGTGGGTGAGTGGCTGCGGAGGCATAGATTTTCCCAGAAGCCCTTCTTCCTCCAGACCCCCAAATCCTGCCAGACTGTGAGCTTCCAGTGGGAACACCTCTGTGCCAGCCCAGGCTCCTATCTGAGCCCCCTTCCCAACCCACGTCCGCCCCTCAGGGCTCCTGTCTGATCCCCCTTCCCAACCCACGTCCACCCTTCAGGGCTTCTGTCTGAGCCCCCCTCCCAACCCATGCCCACCTCTTAGCCTGGCTCCTGTCTGTGGCCCCTTCCCAACTGACATCCACCCCTCAGCCCAGGCACCTGTCTAAGCCCCCTTCCCAACCCACGCCCATCCCTTTGGGCTCAGTAGCTAGAGGTGGGCACCAATTCAAGACTCAGTTCTGGCTGTGCCACTGACTCGTTTTTATCTCATGGGGTCACAGAAGGAGTCCAGGAGCCTCGGAACCAGCTTGACTGGTCAGTGCTGGCCCACCAAGGCTCCGGAGTCACTCACGCTCACTGCCCTTCAGAATCTGAGCCACCACCACCATGCTACCTCCCTGGGGATCAGGAGGTGTCGGGCTCACAAAGGGGGACTGAGGGGAGAAGGGTTGAGGGGTGCTTCCTGGGGAGGAGCAGCTGAGCAGAGGAGTGGGGAGGGGACCAGGCAGAGGGAACTGCCAACCCGAGAGCCCAAAGGACAGAGACACTGTCTGGCTGGAGGGAGGATGGTGGCAATAGGATGAGGTTGGAAAAGTCCAGTGATTGGTATCTTTGCTACTCGCCCTACCTTTCCTCAACTGCCACGTATTTAAAGATGTTTTAAAATTCATGGGGAACAAAACAGTCCCATCTGTTGTTTGGGACTCAGATCTAGACTCTGACATTTTTTAGGCAGCCGAAAAGCAGTCCCTGTCCTCACCTGGGTCTCAGTTTCTCCTTTGTGATTAGGGGACTGGGTCTCTTAGGCCCTGCCAACCTTGAGCTCTTGATCGGAATATACATCCACACCGACGGTGTTTGCGTACAATGTCCTCTAGGTGGCGCTGTTGGATTTTAGAACCGATGGCTCCAGCCCCACCCAACTGTCTTAAAGCTGGCAGCTGGAGAGTGGGAGTCGTTATTCTCCCAGCCTTTTATAGCAATTTTACAAGCTCTTAAATGGGCTTGCATGTTGTAAACACGACTGAGTCATAGGGGGCTCCCCACTGCCGCCGCCTCCTCCACTAATTAGTTGTTGTTGTTAGATGCTGTCGAGTCAGTTCAGATTCATAGCAACACACACACACACACAGGACAGAAGGAAGCTGTGCCTAGTCCCGTGCCATCCTCACAATTGTTGCTGTGTTTGAGTCCATTGTTACATCCACTCTGTCAGTCCATCTCGTTGGGGGTCTTCCTCTTTCTCGCTGACCTGCTACTTTACCAAGCGTGATGTCCCTCTCCAGGGACGGGTCCCTCCTGATGCTCTGTCAAACGTAGATGAGATGAAGTCTGGCCATCCTCACCTCTTACTAAGGAGTTTTCTGAGGGTCCTTCTTTTGAGGCAGGTTTGTTTGTTTATTCTTCTAGCAGATCATGGTATATTCAATATTCTTTGCTATCATTCCAATATATCAATTCGTCTTCAGTCTTCTTGATTCATTGTCCAGCTTTCACATTTATATGAAGTGATTGCAAGTAACATGGCTTGGGTCAAGCGCACCTTAGTCCTCAAAGTGACATTTTTGTTTTTAACACTTTAAAGACTTCTTTTGCAGCAGATTGACCCAATGCAAGGCGTGGTTTGATGTCTTGACTGCTGCTTCCATGGGCATTGATTGTGGATCCAGGGTAAATGAAATCCTTGTCAACTTTAGTCCTTTTCCATTTATAGTGATGCTGCTTACGGGTCCAGCTGTCATGATTTTTGCTTGCTTTATGCTAAAGTGTAATCCCTACTGAAGTCTTTGATCGTCATCAATAAGTTTTTCAAGTCCTCTTCCCTTCCAGCAAGCAAGGTTGTATCAGCAGCCTATCATATTTTGTTAATGAGTCTCCCTCCAATCCTGATACCATATTCTTCTTCATATAGCCCAGCTTCTTGGATTTTGGGCTCAGCATAAAATTGTTAGTGCGATGAACAGATATGACCTGGACACACATCTTTCCTGGTTCTAAAGTATGTAGTACAGACACACTTAGCTTTATTGATTCATAGTTACTGTGTTTTTATTTTACAAATGGAAGGTTTGCAGCAAGCCTGCATCGAGCAAGTCTACCGGCACCATTTTTTTTCTGACAGCATGTGCTTGTTTCATGTCTCTATCACATTTTGATCATTCCCACAATATTGCGAATGTTTTCATGATGCTCGTACACACTGGGTCCTACAGCACAGTGACAACACAGCTTACATGTCCTGTCACCGCTGCTGTTGTCATGTGCCATTGAGTCAGTTCCAACTCACAGCAACCTCGTACATGATTTCTAAGGCTGTGCATGTTTACGGGAGCAGAAAGCTTCATCTTCGTCCCGACTTGCATGCACTGGGAAACCAAAAAATATCTGTGCCTCACTTCACTTTACTGGGGTAGTCTGGGACCGAAGTCAAAATATCTCTTAAGATACGCCTGGACCCCCTTGCTCTATTTGAATAACTGCCTCGGGTGTATGTACAGGTTCCACCTGAGCACAAGAAGGCGTTCTGGAATTCTCACTCTTCACAATGTTATACCTATTCCAACCACACAGTTGAATGTTTTTGCATATTGAATAAAACACAGGTAAATATATTTCTGGTATTCTCTGCTTTCAGCCAAGATCCATCTGACATCAGCAGTGATATCCCTCATTCCACGTCCTCTTCTGAAGCTGGCTTGAATTTCTGGCAGCTCCCTGTGGATGTACTGTTGTAGCCGTTTTTTGAATCATCTTCAACATAATTATGCATAATAACATAATTGCGTGTGGTATTAATGATATTGTTTGATAATTTCCATATTTCGTTGCGTCCCCTCTCTTTGGAATGGGCACAAATATGGATCTCTTCCATGTCGGTTGTCTGAGATGAATGAGCGTTTGCAGTGCTGGATCAGTGTGTTAAAAAACATTTCAACTTGTAGTCTGTCAAGTCCGGGAGCCTTGTTTTCAACGATGGCTGCAGTGCACCTTGGCCTTCTTCCTTCAGTGACGTCGGTTCGGATCATACACTACTTCCTGCAATGGTTGAACATGGGCCATTTGTTTTCCGTACAGTGGCTCTGTGTATTCCATCTTCCCCTCGATGCTTCCTGAATTATTCATTATCTTTACCATAGAATCCTTCAGTACTTCAACCTGAGGCTTGAATTCTTCCTTCAATTCTTTCAGCTTGAGAATTGTTGAGTGTAGGCCCAGAGAGGCTGGGGAGCTGGTCAGCGTGCTAACTAATTTACTGACTTACTTACTAACCCCAAGTCTTTGCACATTGCATTAAAATACTTTTGTCTTCTCAAACCTCCCTTTGAAATCTTTTATTCCATTCTTTTACTTCATCATTTCTTTCCTTTGCTTTAGCCGTTGTATGTTCAAGAGCAGATTTCAGCTCTCTTCTGACATCCATTTTGGTCTTTTCTTCCCTTGCTCTATTTTTAATGACAATTAATGATAATTAGTTAATTACCATTAATAACTGCACATTAGCCCTGGCTGGGATTCCAAAGCAGGGCTTATAGTTGGGTTGCCAACAGTCATTGAACTTGTTGCTTGTCTCTGATTCTCTGCCCCCTCCAGGCCTCAGTTTCCCTAACTGTAAAATGAGAAGTTTGGATAACAGGAACTTAAGAAAGGGACTATTGGGCTCCTGTGGAGAGGGAAGACAAGAGGGTGGAGGCTCAAGCATTTATTGCCTTCCAGGGCGAGGGAAGACTTAACACAAGGCCACCCCTGCGGTGGTCACTGGGCATGCAGCTGCAGCCAGCCAAGACCATTGTCCCTGGGGAACTAGCCAAGTTAGCAGTGGTCCAACCTTCCTGTTCACTCAGACGTTTTTCTCAGTTCTCTGTCGGTGGCAGGCTCTGGACTGGTTTTGTGGATATCAAGGTCAACGAACACCACACAGCGCCTGACTCTCGGGCTTTACACTGGGGTGTGGGGATGCGGGGGAGCAGTGTGATAAGCAGATATTCAGACACTTGTTGTTAGATGCCCTTGAATCGGTTTCAACTCATAATGACCCTGTTCATAACAGGACAAAATACTGCCCGGTCCTGTGCCAACCTCACAATCATTACTACACTTGAGCCCATTGCTGCTGCCACCTTGCCAGTCCAACTCATTGAGGCCTTCCACTTTACCCAGTATGCTGTCCTTCTCTAGGGACTGGTCCCTCCTGATAATATGTCCGAAGTATGAGAGATGAACTCTCTCCATCCGGGCTTCTAAGGAGCACTCTGGCTGTACTTCTTCCAACACAGATTTGTTTGTTCTTCTGGCAGTCCATGGTACTGTCAGTATTCTCCTCCAACACCATAACTCAAATGCATCAATTCTTTTACAGTCTTCTTCATTCATTGTCCAGCTGTCCCATGCATATGAGGTTATTGAAAATACCATGGCTTGGGTCAGGCACACCGTAGTCCTCAAACGAACATCTTTACTCTTGAACACTTTAAAGAGGTCTTGTGCAGCAGATTTGCCTAATGTAATCAATCATTTGATGTCTTGATGCTACTTCCATGAGTGTTAGTGGTTGATCTGAGCAAAATGAAGTCTTTGACAACTTCAATCTTTTCTCATTTTTCTTGATGTTACTCACTGGTCCAGTGGTGAAATTTTTTGTTTTCTTTACATTGAGGTGCAACCCATACTGTAGTCTGTGGTCTTTGATTTTCATCAGTAAGTATTTTAAGTCCTCTTCACTTTCAGCAAGCAAGGTTGTATCCTCCAACCCTGATGCCACCTTTTTCTTCATATCATCCACCTTCTCAGATTATTTGCTCAGCATACAGATTGAATACGTATGGTAAAAGAATACAACTCTGGCACACACCTTTCCTAATTTTAA